AACTCTTGTAAAACTTTTTCACCCAGACGGCTATTAGACTGGAAAGAAAAGTTGGATAAAGAGAGAAATAAGGATTAACATCAAAGAAAGACGTGCAGATCAATGCATTGTTATATAGAGCAAAGTATGTTCGTCAAGATTGTAAGTTTAGATGGTGATATAAATTGTAAGATTATAATTTTATTTCCACTGCAATGTAAGTGTTTGATCTTGGGATACTAGTTTTGTTATATTTAAGTATTCAAAATTTTGGGATGTTACAAGCCAGGTAATGCTGTGTGAGGTAGACATCTCTCATGATGTCGTTGCTTTGTGATGTAGACACGCACTATAATATCTTTATTTTGTGAAAAGTATTATTCTCATCAAGGCATGCTAAATTTATAAAGCTTCGTGAAAATTGTTTATTGTAAAAGTTGTTCTTCGTGCATGAAAACCGTAGATTCACTCGGCCTAAGGCTCACCAAAAACCCTTTTAAAACTTTTTCACTCATGCGACTATTTGAGTGGAAAGAAAAGTGCAATAAAGAGAGATAAAGATTAGCTCCAAAGAAAGTTATGTACAGATCAAAACATTGTTATATATAGCAAAGTTATGCTCCTCAAGATTGTAATTTAGATGATGATATAAATTGCAAGATTATAAATTTTATTTCCGCTGCAATGTAAGTGTTTGATCTTGGGATACTAGTTTTAATATATTTAAGTATTTAAAATTTTGGGATGTTACAGTATGTCTGACCCTACATTAAGCCTATGGGCTATGGCACGTCATGGTCCATTGCCTGATTTTTATAACATGATGTTTGATTTTTCTTACCCTTTTAGTGCTTATTTTCTACCTTTTTTGGTATATAACCTAAATTTAAAATGTTTAATATCATTAACTTATTGAATAATATTATAAAACAAAGGTTTTTATATATAATATTATATATGATATGCAAATTCGTTGTCATAAGTCACGTCACACGATGCCTCACACAATTTAAAACCTTGGTTATAATTAGAATAATAAGAAGCATATACAAGAAACGAACCTTTTCGTTCAATAGAGCGTTGCTAGTTTAATACCTCAAGAGCCACCAAAAGTCTGAAAAACCAGGCCTTGTAAATTCTCATATATTTGATTCTTGACGTGATGACCTAAAATCTTTAAGGCTACATTTAGCAAACTAATTATAAGTTAGCTGATAACTGATAAACTAACTGATTAATAAAACATGTTTTACAAAAACTAGCTTATAAACATATAAAATGGCCAAAAAAGCATATTGAAAAAATTATTCAATTATAATATTTCATAATATAATTAAAATAAATCTCTAAAATATAATATATTAATTAATACGGAAAAAATGATAAAAAAATAAATAACATGTTG